TTGTTATAAGAAAGGACCATCTCTGTTGAAGGTTCCTAGAAAACTCAGTCTGAGTCACTACCAGTGACTCCTATTCACATAACTTTATTTTAATGTTTTACATACTGTTTATCATCAATATCGTGTATGTGTGTCTTGTTCTGTTAGTTTATCTTCCACCATTAGAGATTTGAGCAATAATTTTTTAATTTTACTCATGTCTCAGTTACCTGATCTTAGAACAAGGTCTGGCATGTTTTAGGCACTCTATTTTTTTAAAAAAGTAACCAGAGGATGCATGCATATACTCATGCCATGTTGCCCAGCACTCTGGTATACATCACTAATGGAGGCAACCTTGGACTTGTTTTTTGCTCTTCTTATTCCTTTCCCTTCCATATACAGCTTAGTTTCTTGAAAAAGCCATCTATCTTCTTGTGATAAACCCATTAGAATCTAGCTTATGCATCTACCTAAAAAAAAAAAAAAAAAAAAAAAAGAAAACCTGCTCACAAGAGATTCCACTGGCTAGCAACTTCCTGATAGCTAAGTCCAGTGGATTTTGTAGTCTTCATCTTATGTAACTCATCAGTAGTTTTTAACAGTTTCTTCCTTGAAACATTATCTGTTCTGCCATCACATCCATGACACCATCTCTTTTGGTTTTATTTCTTTCCCTTAAACCACATACGCTTGTGATTGCAATTTTATGTCACATCAAATAATATAGCTAACTTTTCAGGTGGAAAAATCATTTCTGCTTAATAACTTTTGTCTTCCTGGTGATCTAATATCTGAAGAAATTTGTGACTCACTGTAGTGAGTGATACATATCTTATGTACATACCTGTTAAAAGTCTATTTAGTGGCTTATTAGTCTTAATTTATGAGTCACATTTTAATTGGAGAATGTAAGACATTTGTTAGTTGTGTTTTCTATTGTGACCCAATTGATAATAGCTGAGGTGGTAAGTTCTCTTGTAGCATTCCTGATCATTTTCAGTTGAAAACGTTACTCAGATTATTGTTTCCCTCCAGTTTTTTTTACTTTAGGTAATAGGTGCCAAAAGTAAAATTGTTTGAGGAAGATTTTTATAACCTATTTATTATTTTCCTATGTTAAGGAAATAAACCTCTCACAAACCACCTGTTTGCAGCATTAAGCAACAAAATTAGTTTTAATTTTAAAATCAGACTAGCACTCTTTATTAAAAAAAATAAGAAAAAAGCTGACCTTTGTTTATGCCCAACCTTGCCTCTTTTCTTCCAGTCTCCAAAAAGGGTGGGCAGGGCACAGATAAGAATTTTCCCCTCCTGTTTCAAGCCACTGCCTCCCTAGGGTTTTTGCCGTCTCCATCATCTCCTTTCTCTTCTCCCTTTTCAACTTCACCATCTCCACTTTCTCCCATGCTTGCATCTTTCCCATTCTGAAAACAAACTCCACCAAATGTTCAACCTAGGTTTTACTACTTTTGTATGTATCACTTCACTCTTCAACCTGCCTCATCTTATTCTGCCCCTTCATGTCTTCAATATATTTAACTATTCCCTCTTTTTTTTTAATTTTTTGTTGCAAATTGTAATATTCACAGTGTAAAGTACTGAAAACATGTGTACTTATTAATAAATTATGTAACACATACCCAAGTAACTACCACTATGTTAAAGTAATAGAAAACTGTAACGGCCAGGTATGATGGCTCATGCCTATAATCCCAACACTTTGGGAGGCCGAGGTGAGAGGATTTCCTGAGTCCAGGGGTTCAAGACCAGCCTGAGCAACTTAGTGAGACCTCATCTCTACAATAAATCAAAAAATTATTTGGGTGTGGTGGCATGTACCTGTGGTTACAACTACTTGAAAGGCTAAAGTGGAAGCATCACCTGAGCAGGTCGAGGCTGTGGTAGCCATGATCATGCCACTGCACTCTAGCCTGGGCAATAGAATGAGACTCCTACTCAGAAAAAGAAAACTATAACTATGATAAAACCCTCTGTGTGCTGTTTTCTCCCCACTGGAAGTAACCATTATCCTATATTTTATGAGTAATGGTTTCTTTGTAGTTGTTTGTTTGTTTGTGTTTGTTTGTTTGTTTGAGTTGTTGTCTTACTCTTTTGCCCAGACTAGAGTGCAGTGGCACAATCATGGCTCACCACAGCCACAAACTCCTGGGCTACAGCAATCCTCCCACCTCAGCCTCCCTGGTAGCTGAAACTACAAGCATATACCACCATGCTTGGCTGATTTTTTTCATTTTTTGTAGTGACAAGGTCTTCCTATGTTGCCCAGGCTGATCTCAAATTCCTGAGCTCAAGCAATCCTCCCACTTCAGCCTCCCAAAGTTCTGGGATTACAAGTGTGAGGAACAGCACGCGGCCTATAGTTTTACTACCTTTGTATGCATCACTTCACTCTTCAACCTACTGTTACCTTCTCTTTCTAAAAGATTTCAAAAGTCTCACAATAAGGCTTCCTGTGAATAATTGCATCTCGGAATGGGTGTTTCTCATCCTAATTTCACTGTGCCTTTCTACTATGTTTGCTACGGTAGATCAGTTCATCCTTCTTGAAATGACTCTCTAAGGTCCATGACTGTATTCTCCTCTCTCTCTCTCTGATCCTTTATCCTTCTCTTCTCTGTCCCTTTCTCAGGCCTCTCTCCCTGCCCCTGAAATGTTGATCCTTAGCTCACTGCCACTCTTGTACTCTCCATGGCGATCCTGCCCATTCTAGGCATTTCAGCCTTCACCATTATGTGGATTGCTTTCACATCCATTCTTCAGGTCAGACATGTTCCCTGGCCAAACTCGGTAGCTCAGCCTATAATCCCAGCACTTTGGGGAGGCTGCCACGAGTGGATTGCCTGAGCCCGCAGGTTCGAGACCAGCCCAGGCAACTTGGGTAAGACGCTGGGGTGGCCGTGAGTGTCCCACTGTACTTCAGCCTGAACAACAGAGACTCCACTCAAAAAAAAAAAAAAGTTCCCTAAAAGTTCGCTAATCCTGCATAGACAGCTGCCTACTGGACATCTCCGCTTAGATATTCAATATCCAAGGCAGACGGTGTTCTTTCCCTTTAAACTGACTCCTCCTTTTTCTTCCTTTTCTGAACCAGTTGTTGGCAGCACTGCCCACTAGCTCACCCAAGTTAAAAACCTGAAAGACAAGCCGGGCTCGGTGGCTCAGCCTGTAATCCCGCGCCTTTGGGAAGCTGAGGTGAGTGGATTGCCTGAGCCCGCGGGTTCGAGACCCGCCTGGGCAGCGAGACCTCATCTCTACAATAAATCAAAAAATCAGCCGGGCGTGAAGCGCG